TTCATGTGAGAAACTCTGTCAAACTATATATTTTTGAATTTATAATTTACACTAATTAAAATCGATGGTATGTTAAATGCAAACTGCATCTGATATTGACTCACATCACTAACTTACTTGGCAACATCACCAACTTACTTGGCAACATCACCAACTTACTTGGCAACAGCACCAACTTGCTGACTGACATCACCAACATGTTCAGTAACATCACCAACTTACTTCAGCAACATCACCAACTTACTCAGCAACATCACCAACATACTCAGCAACATCACCAACTTACTCAGCAACATCACCAACTTACTCAGCAACATCATCCAACTTACTCAGCAACATCACCAACATTACTCAGCAACATCACCAACTTACTCAGCAACATCACCAACTTACTCAGCAACATCATCAACTTACTCAGCAACATCACCAACTTACTCAGCAACAGTCACCAACTTACTCAGCAACATCACCAACTTACTCAGCAACATCACCAACTTACTCAGCAACATCAAGAACTTGCTCAGTGACATCAAGAACTTGCTCAGTGACATCACCAACTTACTCAGCAACATCACCAACTTACTCAGCAACATCACCAACTTACTCAGCAACATCAAGAACTTGCTCAGTGACATCAAGAACTTGCTCAGTGACATCACCAACTTACTCAGCAACATCACCAACTTACTCAGCAACATCACCAACTTACTCAGCAACATCACCAACTTACTCAGCAACATCACCAACTTATTCAGCAACATCACAAACTTACTCAGCAACATCACCAACATACTCAGCAACATCACCAACTTACTCAGCAACATCACCAACTTATTCAGCAACATCACAAACTTGCTCAGTGACAACACCAACATGTTCAGTGCCATCACCAACTTGCTCAGTGACACCAATTAATTACTTAGTGACATCACCAACGTGCTCAGTGACATCACCAATTTACTCAGTGACATCACCAACTTGCTCAGTGACATCACAAACGTGCTCAGTGACACCAATTAATTACTCAGTGACATCACCAACTTGCTCAATCAAACCCATTCTATGACTGAAACAGCAAATAGATCATAGCAATCTGAATTCAAGAAAACATAGATTGATCACATGATTGAGATACTTACTTTTCAAATAATGCATTATGTTGTGGACACATTCCTAAACTTTGTCTAATCTGTAACATGTCAGTTTTTATATCATGACCATAAATAACGGCAGTACCAGAGGTGGGAGGAATAAGACCAGTCAAGATAGACCTATAATGATAAAAACCACAAACAACAATTGAAAGGAATTGTTATTAACGGTATTACGTCCACAATTCTGTGACGCAATAAAACATAAAGTAATATCTATGTGACATACTTACATTGAGGTAGTTTTACCAGCACCATTATGACCTAAAAACGATGTAATCTGACCTTCATAAAGATTCAAACTTAGTTTGTTTACAGCAAGTTTACCAGTCTTATAAACCTTTGAAGACAAATTAGATCAAATACAAATTAGATCAATATAATTGATAAGCATATAAATATGTACTTGACATTGTGAAATAGATACAAAATAGCTAATTTGTAAAATATTAATTAAACTGTGATCTCCCTTAAAAATCCCTGTTCCTAATTGATATTCAAGAATGAATAAATTAGGCTACCTTCATATAAAGACCACTTGGCTATGAAGGATGGTTTGGCTCAGTTCAATGACTGTTCTTTCACTGTATATCTTCAAACCATCACAAACATTGTTCATGGACTAAGACTGTCAGATTAACATTTACCTTGACTAGTTTATCTATACATACTCCAAGTGGTAAGTGCACTGGTTCCTCTTCCATTTTACTGTCCTCATCTAAAAACAAATCACAAACAGATGATAAACAGATAAATAAGATGATTATTCCTGTCTATGATTAGCAACCCAACAACTGTGTACACACAGGGTAAGCCACCTTCTGTACATCTGTCTATCCCACAGTAGCCTTTTGCATAACTGTCTACTACAGTTTATACCTAAAGCACCTTTCTGTACAACTGTCTACACCTAAGAAGCCCCTTGTACAACTGTCTACACCTAAAAAACCTCTTGTACAACTGTCTACACCTAAGAAGCCCCCTTGTACAACTGTCTACACCTAAGAAGCCCCTTGTACAACTGTCTACACCCCAAAAAACCCCTTGTACAACTGTCTACACCTAAAAA